AGAGGTATTGGCAGCGCCGAGACGGGCCTATTGACGAGCTGTCAGAATTGATTACTTAGTCAGGCCGCGGGAGGAAAGGCGGCGAACAGAATGAGAGATAACGAGAGGAAAAAATCTAAAAATAATGCGCCAGAATGGCTGCAGATGAATCCCTCTGTCTGCGGGATTAAACAGAAACTTTGTCTTCCCTTCAGTTTGTGTGTTAATATTTTATGGTTTAATAAGCCTCATGTAACAGCCTGGTAATGATTCTAACTCTTCATTTGCTGCTGTGTGTGTGTGTGTGTGTGTGTGTGTGTGTGTGTGTGTGTGTGTGTGTGTGAGAGTGAGAGAGTGGTCACAGCAGCAGTGGAGGGGTTTGTGGTGATATAATTGTAAGCCGGTATTGATTGGCTCCCCTTGTTATTGATGAGGGAGAATTTAATTCAACCAACTCGTTTGTCAACGTGACACTGCCATTTAACAATGAACTCTCTCTCTCCGTCTCACACACGCACGCACGCGTACACATACACACACGCAGACACACAGACACACACACGTGCATTCAGAAAAGATCTTGTCCTTCTATATTAATACAGGGCATCCTATGTCTTACAGGCATGTGTCTAAAATTCAGGCCTTAAAATGTCTTAAATCATTTTTTAAAATGTAAGTTATCCTTGTACATGTTAATGACGGATCTTAATCTCATATCCTGTGTTTTATTCTTTGTTTTTTTTTTGTTGGACTTTAATGTCAGGCTAAAGTTTGTGTCACATGCAGACATCTTCATTGGATTGGGTGACTTGAGCCGGTTGTGGCTACCGCTAACTAGCGGCTAATGCACCCCAGCTAGCTAGTGTAAAGTGTGGACTTATCACCGGTTGACTGGGCGACGTTCATCTTCACTGTTGGCTCATTTCTCTTGCCAACTCTTACAATGCTGCATTTATTCTGTGCTAAAAGGTTTGGCACTACTACTATATAAAATCTTCTTTTGCACATTTTTGTCAATCTTAAATCTTAGATTTCATTGGTAATGGTCTTAAAAAATCTTACATTTTGTTGGTGAAACCCTCAGAACAGAAAACTAAATCTTGGCAAGTATTTTATTTGAGTTTTTAGTGCAGATATCTTAGTGCACTTGAAATAAGACAAAAATAACCTGCAAGTAATTTTTCAGAGAGAAATGTGAGCTTGTTTTTAGTGACTAATTCCTTAATATTGATAATGGCAGATTATTTCCACTTATCATGGAAAAATATCTTGTTTTAAGTGAAATAATCTGCAAATTGCACCTATATTTTTTTCAACATGAAGGAATAATTGATTTAAAACAAGTAAATGTTGCAAAAAGTTATTTGTAAGTTAATTTTGACTTATGTCAAGTGGACTAATATATTTTTACAAGAAACTAGACTAAAAATACTTGATACAATTTTGTTTTGGCAGTGCTGTAATAAAGATGTTTACTTACTGAGAGTATATTTATATATTTTCAACAAATTGATGTATGCATGATATTTCAAACCATAAATAGTTGTTTGTCAAATATTTGTAGTTTTAAATGTGTCTGTATTGTTTTCCAGGTTATCTTGGCTCCTTGTTTGCATTGGTTGATCAGAAATGTATTGTAACCAATAATCCTCTGAGAGAGGATTCAGAGGAAAAGGAAATATTAACGAGGCCGGCCATGCGTTGTGTTCCTCACCTCTTCTTTAGATCCACACTTCTCCCCCCTCGACACACACACACATCCCTCCTCCTCGCGTTGGACGCACAAAACACACTATATTCTGCAAGAAATAATTGCTTTTGTCTGGAAGGAGTTTGTATCGGGGCTCCTGTGCGCTTGCCCTCCTCTGTGGAAGGGGGGGATCATGAGGGACAACTGGTCGTTTCTTTATTCGGCCTCTCCCTCCTCCTCCTCCTCCTCCTGCTCCTTTTCTTTTCGCTCCCCGTGCCTCTCGTTGGGCACGCGGATGTCATCTGTCAAATGGGAGCAGCTTTTTTTTTCTCCAAGTTTAAAGGGGGGTGGAGGGATCTTTTGTGATGTGACGTGTGCCGATTCATGGTTGAGATCAAAAGCTGCAGCTTGTAACGGAAACGGCTCCAAATTAGATTTAAGATTAAGAACAAATGGCAGCGAAATGAGCTATAAATTAGATCTAAAAACATGACGGGGTTTTTCCACTTAAATAAGGTGAAGAAAAGTTGTTTTTATAAACAAAACTTAAACTGTTGATTCACTTTAAGCATTCAGTTCTTTTTGTTAATATTCTGTAACATTGTTCACTTTACCTTTAAATGTTTTCCAAATTTATCAGATTGTGAGGATACCTCTAATCCACAGATTATCTGACAGCTTTAGTTCTGGACTCGAGGTTCCAAATCTTAAACTTTTCACCAAAGTCGCTTTTTAATCAAATATTTCCAGTACTTTTCAGTCTAGTCTCTAGTGCAAATATGTTAGGACTGTTGAAATGAGACAAAACTAACCTGGGAGTGACTTTTCAGCAAGATATATGAGCCTGTTTTAAGTAAATAACCCCTTAATATTGATTAAATAATCTCGTGGCAGATTAATTCACTTATAACTTGGGGAAATTGTCTCGTTAGTGAAATAATCTGGCAGGGAAACTAATACATTTTCATCATTAAGGAATTCCTGACTTAAAACAAGCTCCTATGTAAATTAGTTGTCTTATTTAAGTGTTCTAAGGTATTTGCACTGGAAAACAATGCAAATACCTGGTAATATTTTTTTGTTTTTTGAAGTGTGAAGACTGAATGGTATTTGAAAATGCTCTTTATTTACTCCATATTTACTCCTGTTTCCATCTGAAGAAAAGAAACCTCAAAGCTTTGTCTTCTGCATGCATGTCTTTTCCAACACACCTGAGTTGAGTGAATGCCTCGTCACCAGGCCTCTGCAGAGGTGGTTGATGAAGGAGTTGAGCCTTGTGTGTTGGTGCAGGGATGCCTCTAAAAGATGCAGGATGATGGCTTTGGAGAACTGGAGATGGGCAAACCCGGTCTAATTCATTCAGCTCAACCTGACGAGAAGAAGAGTTTCCAGTCACACTGCTGTGTAGCCGCCTTGGCTTTGGAAGAGACATTGCCTTGGGTAAATAAGGGAGCATCAGCTCCAGCCCTGTTTGGTCCTAAAAACATCGGTCTACCAACGACAAAAGAGAAATCCTACTAAAATCCTACTCCACTCCATTTTAGTTTACATTTTGCGAAGAAGGAAGTTGTGCTCAGCGTCTTCTTCTGAGGTTTTCATGTGGTTTTTCAGTGGTTCTTACTGTAGTGCCCCCACAGGCGAGGATGGGAACAGGTTTTTCAATTAGTTTGGATCATTTGACTCTGTGTGAAAGCCAGCGACAGCAGCTCAAAACGTAACAAATGTTGTTACGTTTTGTAATTTTGGTCTCCAGTAGAACAGAGTGTGCCGGTCTATCAGGGGAAACACCCTGAATCTCCAGCACCGGATTAATGACCCTTTGACCCCAACATGCTCAGTTTGATCTCCAGCAAAGCCAGGCTTCTACTGGATCCTTCGGACATCTTGAAAAGTGTTGTGGCTTTAGCGATGCAACTCCAAGCTACTGCACAAAATGACTGAAAGACCATAGCTCAGCATTCAGTTTATGTACTAGTTTCTTTTTTTTTTAAACATATAAACATATAAACCATTCCAATAAAGAGGAAGGATATAACTTATTTAAAAGCAGTCTTAGTGTTTTTAACAACACGGAAACAAGAAAAATACATGTTGGGAACCACTTTTGGCTTTCAGCTTCAGTTTATGGATCAGTTATTGGTGCATGGCCACCACTTTCCAACTTCCTAGAGACACCCCTGTTATTCAGTTACCTTATCTTTATTTCCTGTAGGGGTTGTTACAGCGGCGTTTAGTCCAATCTTGCATTGACTTCAATGAGCTGCGGGAGTTGGTAAAGTAACACCCAGCAGTAGAAGAGCGGCGCCTCCGTAAAGTGAGTAAACCGGGCCTCTGATGATGCTGCTTCCACGTAGCAGGTGGTTCATAAACCCTCCTTCCTCTCCCTGCATGCGCATTAGCATTGGCTTAGAGCCCGGGGCCTTTCTAACTATGAGCGCCATAATTGATCGATAACTTATTAACAGCTCAGTCTCACCTCGGAGTTTATACGGGAGGTGGGAGACGGAGAGCTGCGCGCACTTGTGGTCGATTTTTCTTCCATTGACCGCGATATTTAGCGCATGGATTTTTCTATTTAAAAAAATCCATGTTGGTGATAATCTGGAGTGTAAACGCAGTGCGTCGGAGAGGAGAAGAAGAAGAAGAGAAGGAGGAGAGAGAGGGAGAGAGAGAGAGAGGGGTTATGGCCGGGAGGCACATTCACCTCTTACGCACAACCCTTAATGGGAAAAGCATGCAATTTAAATTCAACTCAGCTGACATTTTACGCACATTTTACGCATACACGCACGTGGCCTTCCAGAGCCCAACATAATTACTAATTTAAGAGCCGCGCGTGACCGTGGGGGCTTTGATTAGGTGTCCGCCTCTGTGGAAAAGAAATACATTAGCCGAGATCTGCAGGTGACCTTGTGCAGGCCGGAGCTGCGTAAATCCATACAGAGAGAGGCAGAGATCCACCTGCTGAAATATGCATCAAAGGTTCCTCCCCTTTGAATTCATGTCCGCACATTGTGAGGAGCGGATCGATCTCTCTGAGGCCGGCGATGATGTGATTATTGGCTTCATTATAATGAAATAATCAGATGATCAATGGCTGGATCTTGTACAGGATCATGGTGATAATGAAATGTGAAGCACGAGGTTGTCTGATGGGTTTTAATGTGTTAACACGCAACAATACGGAATATAAAGTGTGCAGAGGAAGTGTGTGTGTCCTTGTATGTGTGTTGGGGTGACGGGGCTCGGGGTGGAAAGGGGAGGGAATATGGGGTAAAAGCAAAGGGGGGGCTGGGTATCTCTCCGTCTGTCTCCCGGAGAGAGCGCCGAGCCGAGCCAGAGTGCGTTCAGGCTGCGCAGCGTCGGAGCTGAAACCGCTGGGGTTCCCAAAATAAACCGAAGGCACCCCGACCCTCACACACACACACACACACCCAGGGAGAGAGAGAGAGGAGAGGATCCAGGCGGCGGAGAAAAGACCGAGGATGGAGCAGCAGAGCCAAAGAAAAGACACCAGAGCCTGAGAGAAAGCGCCCTTCCCCTCCTCTTTTTCTCGCTTCCTCAGCTGGAGAGGAAACGGAGGACCGCTGCGCTGATTGATATGGATTCTCTCGTTTATTTTTCTATCGATTCTGCTTTAATTAGTGACCCCCGCTAGAGAAAGAGGAAGAGGGATACAGCGAAAGGAGGAGAGGGAGGAGCGAAAGTCAAACAGGGGGTGCTGCCTGCCTACAGCCTTACTTTATTATTTCATTAATTCTTTACCAAATAATGTTTTTACGTTGCATTATTGTGTCGCTTTGTGTATTCTTCTGCAGACTAGCCAGCTACTAACCAAATCTTTACCAGAACCAAAAATTAAAATCAGCTCCACTCAGATACGGACATTTCTTTTTTCTTTTCTTTTTTCTTCCCGAGGATTCACGGGTGGACAGTTTGAGACTTTTACGGACAGAACTGGAGGAGAAATCCGTTTTTATTAAACCCAAAACCAAAGCAAAGAGACGGAACCTCACCGGGCTTTACGCACAAACTGTGTCTGCTCCGACTGTTCACATGGGCGCAATGAGAGCAGCTCTCATCCGGGCTCAGAAACCTCCAGCCTGCTTGGATAACCACTGATCAAGCATCGATCACAAACGTCCACCAGATCTGGAAACAGAGCGATGTAAATCTGCCGAGGAAGAGTCCAGACTCCCCGAAGGAAAAACACCTAAACTTCCTGAACTGTCCCAGCGTCCTCAAAGCGTCCGCAGAGCAGGAGAGCAAAGCCGGCAGGCAGGCCAGAGAACGACGGCAGGACCCCGGATAGAAGGAGCAGCGAAGTGAGACCAGAATAAACCAAAAAAATCCAACGACCACCAGGTCGACAGAGGACCATGTTTGTCCCCCTGCCGGTCCCCTTCGTCTTTCAGAGAACAGCGTCCGACTTCAGCGCCTGGAGACTCAAGTCCTCGCTGGTCCCGCGGTCCAGCCCCGGTAAGCTGCCTCTCCTGCACACAGCCAGTCCCACTCAACACGTCATTTAGTTATTTTACCTACATCCTGCTAAAATTGGGTTAAATTGTTTTCAACTTACAGCAGGTAAAATTTATATATATTCACACTTTCCCTTAAAAAAAATCTGCTTTTCAGTATGTTGAGGTTGCAGAAAAAAGATAAATCACAGCAATACTTTGAGAATAATTTTAGTCATTTACTTAGAAATGTTTTTAAATCATCAAAATTGTTCCGATGAGTTTTCTGTTTATAATTCACATTAATTCCTCTGTTTTACAGTGAATAAAACAAAAATATGTAATTCATATTTCATCTTATTTTTTAAAAATCGCTCCCTTACTTACTTGCATTTGGAAAACCTTCCCAAAAAAACTGTGTGCATGAATATTTAATCTCATTAGCATCCATCAGAGATCGTTGCTGCTCCTCCATCCATCCCATCTGCCTCCTCTCCTCTCCTCCAGTCTTTCTCGGCCGGGTTCGGGGGTGATATTCATGGTCGTCTATTGATCAGGATGTATTGATCCCTGACTGTTGGGAAAACAGGAGTCCAGTTAGAGAAGGGAGAAACTTTAACGAACTAGAAACGATAACGGTTTGAGTTAAAAATCTGTTATTTGGAGTAAAATAAATAAAACTGATTGGGTTTGAAGTGAGTCTGTCGGTCAATAATCGCCTCCCTTTATGCTCACTTAAATACCTCATCACTACTTTAATGATGCTTTGGTGAATTGCTGATCAATACCCTGCCGCAGCTGTAATGCTTTTATCAATGTCTTAAATGTTTCTACTTGTTCACTGGGATATTTATGCCGTTTTATTGCTAGAGCTAATAAGAAAACCATTTAAAAACTCAAATGAAGCTATAAACTGTTCACGTTTGGATCATTTTTAGTCAAAAATAAAACCATTTGACAAACTGGATGTATGCTGGTCCGAGCAGAACCATGCGGCAGTAATTGAGGTTATCAGCCTAAGTAGGCGTCAGGAGGAGAGAAACGCTTTCTGCTTTGACAGGCAACACATAACCGGCGTGCAGCTTCTGTTTTGGAGGGGGTGGGGTCCCTTCGCCGGCTGGGCCTCTAAGAAATTAAAGTTAAAGGAGCAGCAGAGCCATGGAGTGATTGGATGAATAAGAGAATGGCCGGGTGCATGAATGAATAATGAGTGAGTGAGAGGGTCAGCAAATGAACAGGTGAGCTCATCGGTGAATGGAAGCAATAAGAATTAGAGATTGTTTGTTTGAAGGAATCCGTCGATTAAAGGCGGAGTGTGAGTGAAATCTGACCAGCGTGTAAAATGTGAGCGTTTGAGAGCGAGCCGGTTCCCCTGTGTGTTTCCACATGTGAGGAAAGAACGGGTTGGAGTTCCTGCTCCGGCTGCTTTTTTATTTAAACACATTGCTGTGATAAGCAGCTGATACACACAAGAGAAATAAACTGTACAAGAGTGCAAACACTCATCTGTCCATTTTTTTCTCAGTTGTTTCTTCTTTTCTCCGTCTTTCATCGATGCTCTCCAGAGACACACAAACAGAGAATCTGCTGTTTCCTGTTGTCTTTCCCGTTTGTGTGAAGTAGGATTCACTCGACACGGAAATGCAAACTCTCCTCCCGTCTGCGGCTCGTCCCCGCGGACGGACGGCTTGCAGAATTGGATTTTCTTTTGGTGTTTTGGTCGGGCCTTGTAAGCCACTTTAGCTAAATCTGTTACCCACAGCCCTGCTCTGATCTGAGACCTCACTGTGTGTGTGTGTGTGTGTGTGTGTGTGTGTGTGTGTGTGTGTATGTGTTTTGTGTGAGTGTGCACCGATCTGGGTGTGTCCCAGATGAGGTGAGTGAGTAAAACAGCTGACAGCGGCTCTTTGCTGTATCTAAACTCTTTGTTTGTCAGCCTGAATCTTAAACTGTCCAGTGATTAAATCACTGATTTCAGTCCAGTTGCACAAACTGAAACGCTCTGAGGTTCTGCTTTAAAATCCCTTATTTAGTTGATCAAATTACATTTCCGAACTCTCACACTGCTGCAGGATGTCTGTTTGCTCCCTTTCAGTAAAATAAATCTTGTCACTCTGCTTTACTAGCTTTGGAAAATTACAGAAACATGCTGAGGCTTTTATAAATGCAAACATAATCAAACTGAGTAGATCCTCTAACTCCTGATGGATAATAATCTTTATGTAATCAGGTTTGTCCCACTGAGATTAAAAAAAATCTCTTTTTCAAGAAGACATGGCTAAAGAATGGCAGCATACAGTTGAAAATAGAAAATATTCAGTTATAGCACATAAGAGAAATACAATAAAATACATTCATAGATACTGAAGTAAAGCATTAAAGTGTGCAAAGTCAAAATCTGATTTCTGTCATGTTTAAGGCCTCAAACTACTGATTACAAGTTAATGAAATGTTCTTTATGGCTAAAATGGTTTGATCCCTACTGGCTCTAATGTAAAACAGTAAAACACAATGAGTACCCACTTTATTTAAAAAAAATGAATTTGACTTAATTTTACATCAAAGAATAAAAAATAAATTGCACCTAAAATACAAAAAGATGTCAAGATATTAGAATATTTTACATTTTTTAATAGTTTTTGTATACAGTGACATTGGGCCCTGTCTGTGTTAAGATTACCTGCTTAAATATTTTAATTTTCCATTTTTTTTGTTTCACAAGGTAAACATGTTATTTAGTTTAAATTGTTTTATTATGTTAACAGTGTAGAATTTCCCCAATACAACAAATTTATTGTTAAAAACCTAGAAGACGTATTCACAATGAAAGTAAAGAAAAAATCTTTTTAGGTTTACCGTACCTCTCAAACAAAAATAATGATGTTTTTGGATAATTTTTCTTGTTGGCTTGACCAACATTTTGTCTGCTGGAGTCTCTAGTTTCTAAGTGGTTCCACGACAAAAAGGCTTTAGAAACTGCATTTGAATAGGAAGATGTATGCTAAGCTGCTAGGCTAATGTTAGCTTGCTTCCTCTGTTTTGATAGGACTTGTTGATAATTTCTGCTTACAAAATGTTTATTTTGTTATTATCACTTAAGCGGGTATGGAAAAGAGTTTTCACCTCATTTAGAGCTTTGCGGTTTGCGCATGAAATATTAGTGGAAATATATCCCGATATGTATTCCATTAAAATGTGCATACTTTTAATTTTTTTAATTAAGTTAAGAAATTTGCCACTAATCTTCAATTCATTTGTTACTTTTTCTGCATTCCTTTTTGTTGTTATGTTTACCTTTAAGCTGAATGAAGTAAAACGGTCTTTGTCAGTTCTGCACCTGCTGTGATCCTCAGGAGGAACTCCAACATCTCATTCACGTCAATCACAAACCAGATGGAAAACAAACAAAAGAATAAAGGGAATCCTCTTTTCCCCAAAACGCAGCCGCTTTCGTTTTTTTGTTGATTTTAGTCATAAAACGCTCTGCAAGCCAACCATTCTGTCAGAATTATATTCAGCATCAGATGATCGCTACTAAGAGTTAAATCCTCCCTTTTTGTGCAGCTCGGAGATCTGATCAGAGGGTTTTTATTCTGCTGTGTGGTTTTCAGAGGGCAGGCAGGGCGGAGAGGGACCTGTAGCTGCCTCCGCTTTGTCCCCGCTCTGCAGCACAACAAAGGAAATCTAAATGCTCTTTTATTTTATGTACACTGCTGTAAAATCCTCCAGGGCCAGTGTGGCCCATATAAAACTGAGAGCTGTCAGATTCTGGATTGAGAGAGATGCTTTATTTATGCCGGCCACTCTGAGAGTCCTCCTGTTCAGGCTGCGGCTGCTCCGCTCCAACTTCTCCGTCATCGATCTTCTGCAGACGCTGTGAAGTGAATGTGATGGGAAGCCATTATCTTTCATGATTATGCCAACAGAAACAAAGGGAACAAAGAGAGAAAACAGCTCCTGGAGGTTAGAAATGACCACAGTAAGGAAACAATGAGGCTGTGTTGCAGTGGCAGCGCTGCAGAGAAACTTTTATTGCAGAGTTCAAAGCACAGACCTCCTGCCCACACATGCACTAACCTTCACAAATACATAAATGCAGTTTGTGCTGCTGCAGGCCTTCAGCAGATCCTTAAAAAGTCACGTCTTAAATCATTGTTTCTAAAATTAAGGCCTTATAATGTCTTAAATTCCTTTTTTTTAAAATAAAAAATATGTTGGCCTTAAATTGGTCTTAAATGTTATTGTTGCATGACTATTTAATATTGTATATTCCATGTCGGGTAAAAGTTTGAATTGTGCTCGAACATCTTTGCTTTACTTGAGGCAGTTGACTCTAGATTGACGCTACTGCTAACTATAACACAGATTTTTTTAAAAAGAAAGCAAATACAACTTGGAAGGAACTGAAATTTTCAAAAACTTTAGATTCAGTTCAGATTCAGTTTATGGTACAATCCTGACAGAGATGAAACGATGCAGAACCTCTTTCTGCATTTTAAAGAAATTTAAGCTGATGTCTTATTGTGCATTTTTTGTGCATTCGAAGTAGGTCTGTATTGGTCTCCTGAGCTGAATAGCTAATTTTCTTATGTGAATAGGGGGCAGATATTAGATGTTCACACTTATTTCTCCTCCTTTTCATTTATGGTTTTTTTCAGTTGCTACATACACTATTCATATTTCTTATTGAGTGAATGAAATGAAAAACGAAATTGAATGAAATGCCGTTGGTAACTAGCCAGCTAGAAACTGTATTTTATTTCTGACCTGTTCCAAACATCAGGTCAGAAATGAGCAACTGGCTAGCTAGATAGCTAGCTAACTTGATAGCTTTTTGGTGTTTATAATGGTTAAGTGCAAATTTACTGTCAGTTGCCAGGACAATATTTGTTGGTTCATTTTGTGCAAAAAACAAAACAAAGAAAACCTCACAAACAGACCCCAGATGTTTCATTGTTTTGCTATGCTTGATTACAACATGTCAAGATCCCCCAACCATTTTTGGTGTTAATTTTTATTAAA